TAGTCCGGCATCCAATGCTCCGGGACTCCTGATGGTCCGGCACCATCAGGAACCCGGAAGTACTGGGGCAGCCGGACAGGCTTCCCCCATTCAGCTGCTGCTGAAATTGACCAGCAGCTGAATCGGAGAAGCCGGGAGCAGAGCAGCTGAGGTGCTGCTGGGTTGGTCTCGTAGCGCTACCCCTCGGGGCTGCGGGACCAACCCGGCAGCACCCCAGCTGCTCTGCTCCCAGCTTCCCCGATTCAGCTGCTGGTCAATTTCAGCAGCAGCTGAATGGGGGAAGCCTGTCCGGCTGCCCCAGTACTTCCGGGTTCCTGATGGTGCCGGACCATCAGGAGTCCCGGAGCATTGGATGCCGGACTAATGGAGTTTTACTGTAATTTGTTTAGAAGTAAAATGTATTAATTATAAAGATTATTTGCTTCAGTCTTCAGTAAACATTGCACCCTTCCACACCTTTGCTCCTATTTTAGTGTCTTTCTCTTTTCTTTCCCTCAGCCTCCTAGAGTCTCTTTATTTTCCATTCTTTTCCAAAGTTGTATTTGCTGGTTGGCAATGGGTTTCAACAGCACTTATTGAACATAGCATTGACTTGGGTTTTTTTCTTTCAACTTTAAAAAGAGAAAAAAAAAGATTGGAAATTTAAAATTCAGTCTTCCATTTTTTATCTTTTTAAGTAAAAAGCAAACATGCCGAAGTGCTTATCTTAAGGAAGAGGCATAGCCTGAAAGGGATTCTCTCTTCTCTTTCCGTCCTTCACTTGGGTGTCCACTCTCCATAACTTTGACCCTGAACTTTGTTTCCATATCATTTGCTTGCAAAATTGTTTATCAGCACTCCTTCAGCATTGCTCAATCACACCACTGCCTCAGCTCAACTATTGATGCCATTTAAACTTTCATCTTCTCTCACTATATCTGTTGCAACTCCCTTTACTTTGGATTTCCAAGTCCTACTTCATCTGCTATCAGCACATGCAGACCATTGCTGTGGAACTTATCACCTATACAGAGAAGAGTAATCACCTCACAATTTCCTCTAATCATTCCACTGTTTCTCTTTATAGTAGGATCCAGTTAAAAAATGCATTCTTTGTTGTTAAAACCCTCTGCAGACTTGCTCCCCATCCTACTTTTCATATCTAGCACTTCTTTCTACCCTGTTTCTCACTAAGTACTGACTTCCTTTCTGTCCATTCACACAATCTCACCATCCTTGGCACGAGAGCCTTTTCCTCTACAGTGTCTCTCATCTGGAACAGCTTTTTCCTTATCTCTTTGCCTTGATGACTTTGCAACTCACATAAATGTCAGATGAAACTCTCTTTTCTGTTTCTTACTTTACTTACATAATTCATCTTCTCCTTTTAACTGTTTTTTTGGTTTGCATTAATTTTGTATTCTATATTAATTTTGTAAACTCATTGCATTTTTTCCAGAGACTTAGTCTATTGTAAACTTGTAAAATTATGGTAATTATGTTATAGTTATAGAAACACAGGGAAGTCCTTTTTATTTGATTTTTAAAAATATTTGCCCTTTTGTTGAAATTACTAGTATTTGCTCTTAGTGCAGATGTGAATTTTTGTGGGTTCTCCTGAAAACTTTCATAAAAGTCCATTAGGCCATTTTTGAGTTACCAAGGCAGGTGAATTTACTTAGAAAATTTTCAGGTCTTTTTAATGTGCTCCAATGACTACAATTTTGGTTTATTATTTGTTGCCCACATAAAACTTGCTATGGACTTGTCTTCACCGAGGACATGTTTAGATCTTTGAAAAAGTTATTATTTTATCCTGTGGCTTGGATGGTAAAGGCATAACCTCTAAATAATGAAGTCAGCTTCTAAAGGAAGGCAGATGCTATTTAAAAAATGCAATAGGAAGGTGCAGTCAGGATAGCTTCTAAGCAAAGATGTTAATGTGTAAATTCATAATATGGATGAAATTCACCTCTGTCCAAAAGGACTTTTAAACCATTTAATGTCTTCTCATAGTGGTGAATGTCACCTGAATGTGATATTTTACCAGTTATTGCCCTCTCAATGGTGAGAAAAGAGGTCAGTAATCAATCGTAAGCAAATTACACAATTTCAGAGATCATATCTATATATTCAGTATTCAATATAGGGTCAATATATTATTGTTATGCAGATGACAGAACTTATCACTTTCAAGCAGAAGATGAACAAGAATGCCAAATGTGAGTTACTTTACTACTTTTGTTTCTAGTTTTGCTATTATACTGCTACATTTCATTAAACTTTAGAAGCTTTTAACATTTTGAACAGCAAAATATTGCTATTTCTTTTAGATGGACATCTGTGCTACAGAACAGCAAAGAAGAAGCTTTAAATAATGCATTCAAAGGTGATGATAACACAGGAGAAAATAATATTGTCCAAGAGCTGACAAAAGAAATTATAACAGAGGTTCAGAGGATGACAGGAAACGATGTGTGTTGTGACTGTGGAGCGCAAGGTGACTAAATTAAAATATTCCTTCAGTGCATTTCTAATTGGTAAAATTGTATTTCTGTTAAAAGTATTGAAGCTGTTGATTTATATTATTCCTTTTTCTCTTAAATTCAATTACACCCCTAGCAGATTATGCTTACAGTGTAATTATAGCAGTTCATTAAGATGGATTTGCTATATCCTATTATCAATTTTTAAAAGTATCAGTAAGCTTTATGGGCTGCTCTTACAGACTTTGGTAATTAGCCAAGTTTATGTTACTATTGACGCAGTAATTATACTACCGTGGATTATTATTGAGTTCACCGTTATATAATTTACATTATACTGTAAATTCAGTAAAACTGGATGTGATGCTAGGATACAGGATGACTCCGCTATACATCCAAAATGTTCCAAAAAACATGGATGTATAGCGAAATGATGTAAAGTGGGGAATTTTTTTTCCCGTGTCTGACTTCCATTTGCACAAACTGGGAGGAGAGGGAAGGTTGCATGACAGAAGAGCAGAGAATGGGAGGACTTACAATCCATCAGTTCCTACAGGCATCAGTGACACTAGTGCAGAATCAACATATACTAGGGTGATTTATAGCAGGGATACCCTGTATTAACAAAGTTCTTAAACAATGTTTGTAATATTTATTTTTAATTGTTGGCTTCACTTTGTGAACTGGCCAGAAGATGATTCTGAAACTGTACCCTCATTTCAAAATAGTGCTCATTCTCGAGTGTTATTTACAATCTGTAATTTTTACTCTTGGTTGGCATTGTTAATCAGTGAAATTGTGTTCTAATCCTCTTTAAATTAG